GACCAGGCTTCCCCAAACTCTGGCCCTCCAGATGTTGCTGAACTACAACTCCCATGATTCTACGAATTAAATAGATAGGCTGAGAATCATGGGAGTTGTAGTTCAGCAACATCTGGAGGGCCGGAGTTTGGGGAAGCCTATTCTAGACTCTAGAATACAAACTGCATTTTTATAGCTCCAATGTACCAAAACTGAATCACTGTGGTGATCAGGGGGTCCGCAGTGGATGGCTGTTTACGTTTGGACCAGTCTAATAAAGGTGTTTTGCATAATTTTCAGAATTTTCAGAATATACTACATAATAATTCATCATTAAACTATTTTTTCAGTTGAAGAACGGATAGGCTAATGATGTGTACATTATTTTACTCTTTGTTCTAAGAACCAGTGAGTGAAAATAATATTTATCAAGATTAAAAAAAATCAATATTGGACAACTTCAGCGTTTAACCCCCAACAATCAAACCACAGCTTTTGTCCCCAATTAGTCATGTAATGGTGACAATTCTTAGTAGGACTAATTAGTTTTATTGACTATAAATTCATTTGAGTAGGGCCTTCTTCACCTATTCTTCTTTTTATAATTGTAAAGTGCTGCGAAATATGTTGTGGCTATATAAAAAAGACTAATAATAATATTCTAAGATTCTTGTAAAATACATGGTGTGTATCTCTTTAACTGCAGCTCTTCATTCACACACAGGAAGCCGTGTTATTGATAATCAATAAAGTTCATTATTCTGGAGGAAAATAAATCTAAAATAGCTCTTGAACCCATCAGAATAAACATGAAGGTGACAAAGGAACACGTATCGTGAGTGTGGGATTATTTAAAGGGACAATCCAGATGTTTAGCTAAATGTATTACATTTTTAGAATCTATCATTACCTTGCTCCCTAGGTATACACCGGCTCCAGCTTCTGTAAAAATAATATAAAAACCAACCGCCGGCACCTTCACTATGTTTTTCCGACAAAAGTATGGCTACAGATAGAATGCATTTCTCATTACATTTCAAACGACTGATGAGGTTAATGGCCTTTTGTACATTTTAATGTTTCAGTCACACAAATCACAGACAGTTGAGAAGGTTTAAATGACAACAGAGACCAAACACAAATACCTGATTGTCCTGTGGGCTATTGGCTTAAATTAACACCATAGCATTAGGGGGAAAAAAGTGTATTTCTATTGCTATAGTGTATTTAGCTGTAATGTGCATTTCTAATGCTATAGTGTATTTCGCTATGCGTCTTTTTAATGCTGTTAATGGTTTAGATTCCCGCCCCCTCTTTGTGGTTAAAAAAAATTACTTACCTTTTCTTCCTCACAGCGCTGGTCCTATATAAAAGCATTGTGAGGCTACTGCGCATGCGCAGCAATTAGCTGTACGAGACCTTGTGATTGACATGGCTGAGTTTTGCTCAGCTATTTTGTTAGATGCTCCTCTGTCTGAGTGACCGTTAATAGAGACATTCAAACCCTACAATGAAAATTATGTACAGGAATAAAACAACGGGGGCGTGAAACTCAGACCACTTCAGTGAGGTAAATCATTGAGATGAAATGATCTGGATTCCTATAGTGTTCTTTTAAGATGCCCTCCTATTATCCATGTATAGGAACAGCTTCCCTTTTTCGTGACCCGTCTTCCTTCTAATGGATAGAAGTGAATTTAGTCATGTGCTCCATAAACTCCGTGACGTACATGTGACAGCTCTTACCAATGAGATCCTATAAAACATTACAAATCTCACTGTGATCACCGATGGGAACTCAACAGTTTTGCCCCACAAGCTCTGGAACTGACATGTCATTACTGGCCGTCCTGCCCGAACATTCATCTCCAAGTGGATAACAGTGACTCTTAGCTCCCCCAACTACCTGATCAGGATCCCCCACTCTTACTCCTAACTTAAACTCAGACCATTCAGAAGGAGATGAGGAGTCCTGGGCAGGGCAGGGATAAACTCCCCATGTACAGCCATGAAAGTGAAATAAACCCTTTACACACTACTTGTTAACATACACATACTGTAGGCCAGCCATGATTATGAACACGCCATACACTAAACATGTACTTAAACATGACCCTTACATGAATGTAAATACCAATTGCAGCTCGTTCTACTGACACATGCGCAGTCTGCTTGTGGTCAGCACACGTTACGTACGTAGACACAAACACTACACAGTGAAACCATTTATTATTCATTAGTTGGGTAATTCACATGGCAAAATATCTGGCATATATACAGAAAACATATATTTTTAAATGACGAGTGCAGGCAATCACAGTATTTATGTACGTAAAACAATAGAAAGTTTCTTCCATACTGCCCTTTCAGTACTCTATCTATAATATCATACATATTGCACTAAAGTGACAATAAAAGAGCTTTTAGAATATTTTTTAAAAAAAAAGAATACTTTTAGTAAGGTTAGAGTTTTTTAACAGCTTGTTGCAACAGGAAACCTTGATTTTTAATACAATAAAAATGTCACTTTGTAAATGCTTCATATTTAATAGCATTATTTGTCATAACATGACAAATCAGAGCAGCAGTGAATTTGACACGATACGTCTCAGTCTGACACTTTGTATTCCGTATTCCTGTAGCATCATTTCACTCATTGCCCTGTGCACACTGGCCATTATTAAGAGGCCGGTTTTCCGTTTTAGTCATTGTGTACATTGGCTAGCAGAGAGGTAGCCAACAGGTTGTTGCTCAGCTGTTGTAATATATCGTGATCTCCAGCCAGCCTGTGTCAAGCCAAACGCTGGATAACAATCATCTGAGATACACTTTAACAGCAGACACATTCCTTTCTGGGCTCCGAACCACCAGTATACTCACAGACAGGAAAAGACCCATGTACAGAGCTGAACACTATGCTGGGGCTTTATAAATTACAACAAATAGTTTATTTTATTTGTTATTTAAATAACTGAGGTAACTCACTAACATCTAAATGAAAAGTTCCTCCTGCGTGCATTTAGCTCAGTGTTCTAATTAATTTATTCATTAACATTAATAAGAGGCACATTTGGAGATTAGTCCTAAATATGCAGGTAGAATTTATAACAGTGGGGGGAGAGGGGCTAAAATTAATTGAATATATTGCAGTAATAAATGTATTAACCAAAATACACAACTTCTACACCAACATATTTGTCAAATGCCAAACAACCCAATTTGACCATTTAGAGCCATATTCCAGGATTTCAAACAAAATGGAAAAATAAACTATACTTTTCTGCTGGCTGCAAAAACCGTTGGACCAACCATCCATCCAACCATTCATCCATCCAACCAACCAACCACCCAACCAACCATCCACCCAACCATCCATCCAACCATCCACCCAACCAACCATCCACCCAACCCAACCATCCATCCAACCAACCATTCATCCAACCATCCACCCAACCATCCACCCAACCATTCATCCAACCATCCACCCACCCAACCCTCCACCCAACCATCCACCCAACCATTCATCCAACCATCCACCCACCCAATCATCCATCCAACAAACCATCCATCCTACCATCCACCCAACCATCCATCCAACAAACCATCCATTCTTCCATCCTTCCAACCATCCATCTATTGCAATACTTGCTTGAAGCCACAGTGTTGCATTAGCAGCTAACTCTCCCCATATAAAACATTCATGTTGCTGTAACAATGTGATTATACATGTAAATAATATGATTTGATGTGACATCTGTACGATAAACTCACAAAACTGAAGATTGGTCTAAAAAATTCCAACCTAATACATAAAAATTTATGGAAAATTAGAGCAAATATTTAGTAGGACTTTGACTTTCTTGCATTTTCCTGTTAGGTCAGCTGTCTACCATGTAGGCCTGTACACTACGAAAAAAATTGTTATTCCGAATCAGTCCACCTGGGAAAAAAGTCTTCTTTTGGTCGATTCGGGATTCATCCATGTGGCGTTTCAGAAAAAAAAAACTACAATATATAAATAATATGTATATATTTTGCAGTACACTGATAGGTGCATTTTCACACCATTTTGTTCCTGCCATATTTATTAAAGGAACACTATAGGGTCAGGAACACAAGCATGTATTCCTGACCCTATAGTGTTAAAACCTCTATCTAGCCCCCTTCACCTCCTTTGCCTCCCTAAAGATAGTAAAATCATATTTGTATTGAAGTCTGAAGCTGCTGCCTCTGCCTGTGAAATTCCTCTGACCTCTGACATCATCAGAAGTTGTAGCCTGATCCAATCGCAATGCTTCCCCATAGGATTGGCTGAGACTGACAAGGAGGCAGATCAGGGGCAGAGCCAGCACAATTCAAACACAGCCTTGGCCAATCAGCATCTCCTCATAGAGATGAATTGAATCAATGAATCTCTATGAGGAAAGTTCAGTGTCTGCATGCAGAGGGAGGAGATACTGAATGTTTGGTTGCATTTTAGGCAGCCATGACCCAGGAAGGATTTCTAACAGCCATCTGAGGAGTGGCCAGTGGAGTTATCGCTAGGCTGTAATGTAAACACTGCATTTTCTCTGAAAAGACAGTGTTTACAGCAAAAAGCCTGAAGGGAATGATTCTACTCACCAGAACAAATTCAATAAGCTGTAGTTGTTCTGGTGACTATAGTGTCAGTTTAACTATATAATATATATTACTTTTGATTTTTTTTCTGCTCTTTTTTTTTTTTCTCTTTATTGGTCATTTCTCACTTGGACTGTGAATAAAATCGACATTTAGTCACTGTCCCCTAACCATCTATCTGTTTTTTTGTTTGCATTATAGACAGAAATCTAAATCCCAAATCAAAGGAAACTGGGTTTTTTTCGTGATTCGTCCACATAGCATTTCGAAGATTGGGATTTACAATCACATGTAAACATCTAATATTTAGGAAATGCACTTAAAAACCAGACAGAAACCAATAATAGACAATATAAAAACTCAAAAACTGCTGGACAATATATGATCTAAAGCCACAACCTGGCTGTTTTGGATTCTGTTTTATCATTTGAATTGAATTTACGAAATGTCTAATATTAGTGAACAAAGCTGAGTTCTATGGGACTGCATTGTCATGTCTCTGAATCAATGTGTCTCTGTATGAATTAATCTGTCCATATCACTACAGGGTTCATTCACTAGTAAATACTAAGTTTTTGTTAAAGGCCTGCCTATGGAGAGATTGTAAAGACTACTGGATCTAGATCAAAAATATTAAAGGGATACAATAGTCACCAAAACAACTTTAGCTTAATGAAGCCATTTTGGTGTATAGACCATGCCCCTGCAGTTTCACTGCTCAATTATCTGCTGTTTTGGAGTTAAATCACTTTGTTTATACAGCCCTAGTCACACCTCCCTGCATGTGACTTGCACAGCCTTCCTAAACACTTCCTGTAAAGAGTCATCTATGGTTTATCCTTATTTTATTGCAGGTTCTGTTTAATTTGGATTTTCTTATCCCCCACTATGTTAATAGCTTGCTAGACCCTGCAAGAGCCTCCTGTATGTGATTAAAGTTCAATTTACAGCGAAAGAGATACAATTGTTTGAGGTAAATTACATCTGATTAAAAGTGAAACCAGTTTTTTTCCATGCAGGCTGTGTCAATCAGAGACAGGGGAGGTGTGACAAGGGCTGCATAAACAGAAACAAAGTGATTTAACTCCTAAATGGCAGTGAATTGAGCAGGGAAACCTGAGAGGCATGATCTATACACTAAAACTGCTTCATTAAGCTAAAGTTGTTTAGGTGACTATAGTGTCCCTTTAATATTTCTTCAATGCCTTTGCTTTCTTTTTCACATGATTTTTAAAAAAGCATTAGGAAATCCTTTATATAACATATATTGCATGTGTTTTAAATGACACATTTAATCCCTGCGCCATGTAGCTTTATACCTGGATGCAGAGGAACGTTGGCACATGATGATGTATCAATAAAAGTCCTGCTACAATTGGATTATTCTTCCTTGTTAAAAATAACCCTGGATGCCATGTGTTTGTTGCTATAATAAAAATATACTTTGTTCCCACCCTGCGCCTGAATCTCTTTGTTACAGTGGGTCTGTCATCGACAATTAGTGCATAACAAGTTTACTTTGTGTTGAGAGTAACATTTTATTATGGATTGTCCTTGGCAATTTGGTAAAAATGAAATAGAACAATAGATCATCACAGCAAACGTTTTATTTCTGTGCTCTGGATACTCCATTCACCATCCAAAATAACACTTTGCACTGCATTTTATAATGACAAGAAGTGCCACAAAAATGGTTAAAGTATTATGGTATTATGTCACATTTACCATTATAGCTTTACATAATGTTTCTCTTTTTATTGTATTCTGTAAGTGCATCCTGTGATTTAATATAGTTACAGCGTCAGGTTTATTTATTTAGAGTAAATGTGTATGACACATAAAACATTTATTACAAACACAGTCTAATTGCAGATTTACATCACATTCACATTCATAAAAATTTTATCTGAAAATTAGATTTATTTATTTTTTATTGAAAGAAACCGTATTTCGTCCATGTGGTGTTTCATTTCGGAAATAATTCTGTCCATGTGATCATTTTGGGAAAACCTATTTGGATGAATGAAAATGGTGCAAAGATCAGCTTATTAGTGAACTGTAATAAAAAAAAAAAAAAACATAATGGCTAAAAATGTCAGACAATTTTGCAATTGCAATTTGCAAATCACAAGTAGTGGCACTGAAGCACCCTGCAAATCAAAACATCTATCTCATGAAAGATAAAAAAAATAATATATCAGTAAATTAATTCTAAATCAGTGAATCAAAGTTGTTGTAAGTGGCACTGGCACTGGCTAGGCACAGCAGAATCCTAACCACCTCACCAGTCTCACGCAGGATTAATGACACAGGCCTCACAATGGTAAAACACACAATCACCACTGGTCTGTCTTCCTCAATAGCTGAAGTTAGAATCCCAGAATAATCCTGCTGGAAATATATAGATTTTTTTTTTTTTTTACTACTCCTCATTTGTTTCCTCTCATTTTTAAATTGCTAATCTGTGCTAAAATCAACATTTAGTTGCTGTCCCCTAACCACCGATCATTTTTTCCATCAATCATCTTTTATTCTACCTCTTGATTGAACAGGATATAAAGCCCACATCTTTGAGCAGATCTTTTGTCCATAATGCAAAACTAAGCTTACTTGCACTCCTCCCCCGTCCAAAAAAGAGTTTTATATCCATCAGTGGGGATTGTACTGCTGCAAGCAATTTTACATAGAGTTAGTTAAAAGCTCTACAAAATGTGAGTGCAAATCAAATTATTATTATTGAGAGTTGTATCTTCATGCTTAAACATTTGGCTCTATTATCTTTCATTTTGTATCTTTTTACATATGTTGACAAGCACCTTAATCAACAACTGATACCGATGAAGAGTTTAAAAGCAGCTGGGATTGTGATTATTGGACTGTGAAAATTACACTTTATATGTTTATTATTTCTTCCATATATATTTCTTTAATCATTTTATCTTTATATCCATCCATTAGCGCAACCTCTTTTTATGTAGTGTATGTTGTTTAATTTTTTTTGATTGTTTGAGGGTATCCCCTATATCCAGAATTTGCTAGTTATCCCTACCTGTGTTTTTTGTAGCCAAAACTAATGTCTATGTAAGCAGGCCCTGTGTCCGGTAAAACCACAGAACGAAATCCCCTCAAGGTATGACACCTGCTGTACATGCAAGCACATACATATGATATAGTCCAAAAACAGTCATAAAGGCTCCATGAATCAAATTCTGGTTTCTGTCTGCAACTATCGAACACACCTACATCATTACCAGCTAGTCACTGTGACAAATCGTGTTTTACTAATCGGTGTAATAACATAATGCAATTCCTCCTGTGTGACTACTTTTGAGGAATTTTAACACTATAAATTATGAAGCCGTTTGAGAGAGGGCATTAAAATGGAACTAATGTGAATTGGAACCCAAATGGTAACATATAGGCAAACATCTCTGACTGCAGCAAAGCCGTTGCACTGGTGATATGTGTGAGTACGGACATAGGTTGCTGCAAGGAACACACGGCTTATAGGTGTCACACAAGGATAAAAATTAACAGACCTTCCTCTGGCGCTGTTCTGAGAGAGTCGTGGAAACACACTCTTTTGAACAGGCATTGCATATTGTGTAATCAATGTAACTCCAAGGAATCCATATATAAAGTGTAATTATGAGGCAGAAATGTGGTTCTTTGTTGAGCTCATTTGCATACGCCTACCTAGAATTCCTTGCAGTAGTGAGAGAGAAACTGCTATGTTTCCATATGGGATAATCCAGCCTCTAGTGGCTGTCTCATTGACAGCCGCTAGAGGCGCTTCCGCGCTTCTCACTGATTTTCATAGAAGAAGCCAGCGTCCATAGGAAAGCATTGAGAATGCTTTCCTATGGACTGACTGAATGCGTGCCCGGCTCTTGCCGATGACGTCGGAAGGAGGAGGAGAGTACCCAGCGCTGAGAGAGCCTGGCGCTGGAGAAAGGTAAGCGTTTAACCCCTTCCTCCCCCTAGAGCCCGGTGGGAGGGGGGCCATGAGGGTGGGGGGGACCTATTAACGAGTTTGTTTACCTGGCACTATAGTGGTCCTTTAACTATATATGTATATGTGAATTATACAGAGTCACTGACCAGGATGTAAAGGAAAATGTGGTCAACAGTGTCAAGAGTAGCAAAGAATTCGAGCATAATGACTTTTTCCTGTTTTTGCAAGGAATACACTTAGATTCATGCCCGATGTGTTGGTTGACCCCTGTTCCTTGACAGTAAATTATATTCGTATATTTTGCTTTATAGATGATGAGGATCACGTTATACAGATTATGTAATTGTATGAAAACACACACACACTCATGCAAACTACTGTAAACATACCGTTTATTTGTTTTAGATCCTTATACTTTTGACACCTCCTTCTGTGATGTTTTGAAATTGTATACAGCTGTTTTTCTTTGATATTTTGTTTTTGAAAACAGTCTGAAGGGAAGTTTTGATGATGCTCTGTGGTGTAGAGACTGTCAGTTGAATCTAAAAACAGACACTATTAGTTCACAAGCAGGTGTCAAAACCACAGCCTCCAATTAACTTGCTCCAGCAGCAAAGTGCCCGTCTATGAGAATGGCAAAGTTTACTAACCTATTGCAACCACCGGTTTCATTCTGGACAAGCCGAGTTCTTTGCAAGATGATACCACAATACCAGCTACCAGGTGCTGCTTGCCAGATGTTCAGAATGATTAAATTGTTTTAGTTTTGCCTTACTCAAAAGGCTTTCATGTGCTAACGAGAGTCTAGAAAAATAAACAACAAAAAAACAAAATCGTGAAAAATTAACCAATATGAAGGGGGGGAGGAGGGCACACCAATAATCATCTAATTTTTACAATTAATACAATTTTACAACTGTTATAGATTATTAATTAAAGGGACCATTGTCGTAATCCAAAGTGAATTTCACATTTAAGGCAAAAGTAGTCGAATTGAAAGTATAGCTGACTTGAGGATTTTTTCCCAGTTGGCAATTCTGTCCTTAAATGACTTTACAGTCATTTCACAACAGGACAGTCCAACGTTTTCAAAACCAAAAGGAATTGTAACAGGAAATAGAAAATAATTATGAATTGAAGGAAGGAGAGAGAGAAAATGATGGTTATGGAACAACAGAAAGGAGAGAAGAGGAGAAATAAATAGAGTGTAAGAAAACAGAAAGCTACGATGTGTATCCTATGAAAAAAGAGCGAGTCAGTCGTGGGAATTGTCAAATCTTATTACACATGACGACAACAGGTCAACTGGAAGGGGAAAAAAGTGTAATTCGGACGAGCCTGAGGAATATCGTAATGATGTGACAAACAAGCAGCGGACACGACGTAAAAGGGACTAAGGCAAAAATATAAAATGGGAGATTTTTGGGCTTTACTACTGACTAAAAACATTAAGAATTCAAGTTGTAATAAAAATGATCAAATACGGGATTTATAAAGTTTGTTCAGAGGGTGTCTGTGTAGATTATATATTGGAAACCAGCTGTGCGCTATATGTCAGGAAAGAAAGTGCGTAAATAGACATCAACTGGTCACACCCACTACCTGTCAATCAAATAAAACATCATCTAAAAAATTAAATAACTTACTATCTCATAGTATTGTCTGAGAGCAGAAAAAGCAGCAGTGCATGAATGACATTATTAGAAAAGATTCCTAGTGCATATATGGAATTTCTCCATCTGATGCCCAAGCATGTACGCACATAAAACCACTACACAGACGTATAGCAGAGGTAAGTACATTTATACTTACTTCCCCTCAGTGGCTTAGCTAGAGCCTTTGCTGCCCTGGATGGTCCCCAAGTTTTCCGGCCCTCTCAATACACACCAAAAATGCTACAAAAAGTCTAAACGACGTATAGAGAAATAAAATAAAATACTATGTTTATTTCACACTCAGTGACAGGCACACTCACACACTGACAGACACACACACAGTGACAGGTACACTCACATACTGACAGATACACACACAGTGACAGGTACACTCACATACTGACAGACACACTCAAAGTGACAAGCACACTCACACACTGACAGACACACAGTGACATGCACAGTCACTCACTAACAGACACACACTCAGTGACAGGCACACTCACACACTGACACACACTCACACTTTGACAGACACACACACAGTGACAGGTACACTCACATACTGACAGACACACAAACACTGACAGACACACACACAGTGACAGGCACACTCACACACTGACAGACACACACACAGTGACAGGCACACACACACTGACAGACACACTCACAGTGACAGGCACACACACACACTGACAGACACTCACTCACAGTGACAGGCACACTCACACACTAACAGACACACACTCAGTGACAGGCACACACACACTGACAGACACACTCACAGTGACAGGCACACTCACTCACAGTGACAGACACACTCACAGTGACAGGCACACTAACAGACACACACACACACAGTGACAGTAACACATTTACACAGTCTTCACACACACTCACAAATTCATTTTATTTATTGCGGCTTTACTTTTTTTCACCTTTGAGCCGTCGTACCTTTGGGAGAGCTCGAGTGGGCCCTCTCCCTGGGATCCAGTGGGGATCTTCTTCCTGGGGTTCAGTGACTCTTGTAATTATCTAGTTCCTAACGGCGTTTAGTGATGCTGGGGTCAGAGACGTCATATTCCAGCTCCCGGCATCACCACAGAGCAGGGTCTGAATTAACATAGGGGCTGTTGGAGCTGCAGCTTCAGGCCCATGCCTATAAAAAAGGCCCATTTGATTTAAAAACATTTTTTTTTACTACTCTTCACATGCTCTTGCTTAAGTGTGGAAAATTAGGAGGGATGTAGGGGAACAAAACTGGTGTGGAGAGGGGTGGACAAGCGAGTGCTAGGAGACAGTCCTTAGAAAGCGTAGACGCATTTATGCAAAGCTCAGGGTGTTGTCTGCACAGTATGCCTTGGGTTTGTCATCCTGCATGATTGGAAGGCAGTCTGATGTGCATTCACACCAGGCTGACCATCTAATTCTAATTTTTCATGCATGTTTGTCCATTTGGGCGGTTCTAGTTATGTGATACACATCAGTGGCCCACCCTTTTACCCAGCTAACCGAAATCCTGCTTCACCGGACACTGCTTTTAGGGGGTATAGATTTACTTGAAAGATGAAAGCATGAGATTAGCATAGGGTATGTGTTTTCTGATAGCTATATCCTGTCAGTTTTCCTCCAGCACCACCTCAGATACATAACGCTTAGGAGGTCTGACTGTCGATAACATTCTGTAATTAGGCCCATCATAATTGTCAGCACCAGACCCAATGGGCGCCACAGAGGGCATGTGAGGGAGCAGTGAGAAACTAGAAAAATATCAGCGCTCCCTCTGTAAATTTTGGCAGAGTAGGCACCTGCCATCCAGGTAAGTATGTGCCTACCCAGCCTTGGTAAATAAGTGACTCCTGTCCCTTGTGACAGGTCACTGGCCCGCTCCTGACAGCATGGACTGACACCACCTTCAGCCCCCTAGCTATGCCACTGCTCCCACTCCTTGATTCACCCCAGTAAAGCTGAAATAGTATTTGCTGGGGTGAAGGAACAAGCTCCACTTCCCATGTTCTCTGCAGTTCACGATTCACAAAATGAGCCTCAACATGTTCAGCTGTGTGTTGGTCCAGTTATGGCCTAGAGTAGATGTTATTACCCACCTTTGAAATGGTATAAACTGGCAATGACATGCTGCAGACATGTGAGCTGGTCAATTTATCTGAATTCTACTAACTGGGTGACAAACAGCAGAGGGTGCACAGAGCAGCCCCCTGTCACCAGAGCAGGTGCCTACGAGGGCACCAAGATTCGAATCTCACAAGTGGCTCGGGAGCTGATCAGTCTATGCTCTGACTGCACAAATCCCTTGCCGCCCTGTACTACAGTTGGGAGACATAATGTAACATCACCCCAGCCCTGGTGTCAGTACAGAGCTACAGGGAGCTGTGCTCCAAAATAAAAATGTGTGTGAATAAGTGTATAGTCGTAGGAAAAAGAAAGTACACTCTCTTTGAATTCCATGGTTTTAAACATCAAGATAACAATCATCTGTTCCTTAGCAGGTCTTAAAATTAGGGAAATACAAAGTCAGATGAATAACAACACATGACATACTACATGTGTCATGATTTATTTAACAAAAATAAAGTACACCCGTAGTGCTTCCATAGGAATTAAGAGGCTAAATAGCAGACAGGTGCTGCTAGTCAAATGCCAATGATTAATTGACCAACAGCAAGTGTGATCACCTCTATAAAGGCAACGTTTTAGCAGTTTATTGGTCTGAAGCATTCTGGTCTGCCAAGGAGGAAAGACATCAGCAATGATCTTAGATAAGCAATTGTTGTTGCCCATCAAACTAGGAAGGGTTATAAGGCCATTTCCAAACATCTGAACAAACCACAAGACTTCTGGAACAATGTCCTTTGGACAGACAAGACCAAAGTGGAGACGTTTAGCCATAATGCACAGCGCCAACTTTGGTGAAAACCAAACGGAGCATATCAACACAAACACCTCATACCAGCGGTCAAGCATGGTGGTGGAGAGGTAATTATTTGGGCTTATTTGCAGCAACAGGACCTGGGAACCTTGCACTCATTAAGTTGACCATAAACTCCTCTGTATACCAAAGTATTCTAGCGTCAAACGTGAGGCAATCTGTCCGACAGCTAAAGCTTGGCTGAAATTAGATCATGCAACAGGACAATGATCCCAAGCACACCAACAAATCTACAGCAGAATGGCTGGAAGAGAAAATAATCAAGGATTGGCAATGGCCCAGTCAAAGTCCAGACCTCAACCTGATTGAAATGCTGTGACCGGACCTTAACAGAGCTTTGCATAGACAAATGCCAGCAAACCTCAATGAACTGAAGCAACGTTGTAATGAAGAGTGGGCCAAAATTCCTCCACAACGATGTGAGAGACTGATAAAGTAATGCAGAAAGCAATTAATTTAGGTTATTACTGTTAAAGGTGGTTATACAAGCTTATACAAGTTTTACTTACTTTTTCACACGTGGATTCTCCATGTTGGCTTTATTGTTGTGAAATAAATCATGACACGGTGTAATATGTCATGTGTTGTTGTTCATCTGAGGTTGTTGTTAAGTAATTTTTTTGTTGTTGTTGTTGTTAACTAATTTTAAGACATGCTAAGGAACAGATGGTTGTTATTATGTCAGGATATGTAAAACTATACAATTGAAAGACGGTGTACTTTATTTTTCCTTTGACTGTATCTGCCCATATGTGTATGAATGTGAGAATGTGTCTGTGTGTGTGAGTATCTGTGTGTATAAAATGTAAGTGTCTGTGTTTATATTTTCCTTAACTTCAGGCTTTGTAGAGAGACAACAACATAAAAAATTCTACAATTTGAGGTTGGGTGGGAAATATACATTTCTGAACCTACCAGATAACTTCAGTACGACTCTGGATGGATGTCAACCAATTTCTGTGTCCTAAAGAAAACAGCACAAAAATTGGTCAACAACAAACCAGCATAACTGTGGTCAAAATTGTTTTTTAAGAGGATTGCACACAGCACTGTAAATCACATATACAAGTGATAGATCTATTATCTGCTTTAATTCCTCTGGTTTTAAAGAATCTTTTCTAATCTCTTTTTACCAGAACATTTCTTTGTTTTTCACACGGAGAACCAAGCCAATTTCACATATTCTTGAGCTTTGAGATTCAAGGTCACACGATTTCATATTAAAAAAAGAGACAATGATGTGTTATTTGGGAAGTATATTAAAAAAGCACATGATTTTTATTTTTACTTTTTTTGGGGGGGGAGGTGCTCGATTTCTGTCACTTCTTTGTTCTTGTAAGTGAAGCTTTGTTCCAATAATACTGATTTGTCTACTTAAACAATTGCTCATGCAAACCTTTTTAAAAATGAGAAAATATTCTCAAGTGACATATGAGACGAAAGGCTGGGCACTCACTGACATTAACTTTAAACTTGTCTTAACCTTTCCAGTGCCACTTTAAACAACTGCGCTGGTCCCCAACTGAAGTTGGGAATGCCAAGTTGGCAAAAGATGGGGGAAAAGTGGACAGGAGAAGAGTTTACAGGAGAGATGGGGAAAAGAGTGAGAGGGTATGGGATTGAGAAGGGAAGACATTTATTGAGAAAAGACAGGAATGGGAAGAGTTCATGAACAGGATAAGTACATGTTTCAAAAATCACACTGGGCAGATACTTGATAACAATGTAGCAAAAGGCTACTAACGATTAACATAGGCTTCTTCACAGCTAACTGAAGAAGCTCTATTTGAGAGTGAAACACGTATTGGCTATTTTTAAAGGACTTTTTATTGAGGACTTTTAAAAAACATTTGCTTTTATTTTTTATTACACACCAATAAATTTGTTATTTTACTTAAGATCCCGCTTAAGTCCTTTTTGGAGCCCCTAGAGAATCTTCATAGGGGTAGTGCCATCCCCATTCAAATTGGCACAGAACCTATATACCTAGAGCCGGGACCCACAGGCTCAGGACCATGTGAGCACCACATTTACTAACACATCATGGTGTTTTTATAACTACAATCTACACATTGGTTCGCTCTCCCTCTTTTTGTCTTTGAGAGTTACTCCATATCGAAGTAGAAGGGTGGTGCTACCTTAATAAGCACACAAGCCTCAATACGGAGCCAGTGTTTCTATATACAGGCTCATTGAAATGTGAGTGCACAATTCATCACGGCATCATCACTACTATTGCATTGTCACTTTAAGTACCATCTGCACTATATAGTATTTTTTGTATTTTCCTTAACATGTACCCTATATTCCACAATTGAATGAAATAACGTCTGGTAAGCTGTATATGTGTTTGAGCACTCCACATATAGGTGTAGGTCCTTGTTACTTACACCGCACTGAAATCTACAATATTGTTTAGTGGAATAGAGGATATTTCCACACAAGTGTATAGAGCTGCCTGTAATTCACTTCTATTTTCTAAGCACTTTGTTATGCACACTCCTCTGTAAAAAGAGGTAACCTTTGACTGGTATTCATAGATAGGCTTCTACCTTTAAAACCCAAAACACAGTGAAGAAAGTTCAAGACTTCCACTGCTCCTAAAATACAGGAGTGAACAAAATGTTGTTGCGACCATTTTTTGGATGCATGCTTGAATGAAATAATTCTACGCTATACTGAGGTTGAAGTTCACATCTTTTTGACCACTTTTTGACCATGATTGGCCCAAGTGGCATTACTTACAGTTGCCTGCAGCTGTGTCTTGCTCTTGAGTTTTGTTTAAGTAAGTCCACCATCAGACTAATCAAACTTTACTCAGGCAGAGAAATAATTTTATTATTCCAAATGTGATTGAGTTTTTTATTCTATCATGAAGTGACTTGTCAACGTTTCAACCTGAAAAAATAATCTTTGTCATGAGTTATTGGGTCAAAACGTTGCCAGTTCATTTGATGACTGAATAAAAGAATTAACCGCATGTTTGAAATCAGGGAGTTATTCCTTTTACGTTGTTGAAGACCTAGTGGTGGAGAACTCTGCATGAAGTTTCGCCTCTTTTGGTGAAAGTCTCTCTGCCATGCCTATGAATTGCCTTTATATTTCAGCTAGGGCAGAACATCATACATGTGATTTGGAATGATAGATTGGGAGCCTTCCTTAACTTTCAGGTACGGAGCAGTTTTGGTAATGTGGGAATTCAAAGTATTTCAAATAATATAATTACCAGATACAAGGAGCTAATGGGATTAAGAATTTATGGCCCTGTTTAAGTTACCACTGGAAGAATCAGGATAAAACAAGAATTTCAAAAGCGAACTCTCACAGACAGGTTACATACTGTTTCATGGACACACACATCAAATCAGCTCTGTGTTTAATAATTGCTTAATTGTTGCATGTTCATTCATACGCAGGGAGATAAATGAACTAATCAAAGCAGATTCTCAGAGACACCTTGTTTATTAATAACTCAATCTCATTCCTGCAGTACATGAATGCTGCCTACCTCATGGTAGCAATGTTCACCTAATTCACTGGTTCTTAGCCTGTGGTACACATATCCCAAGGTGTACATGCACAACAAACAGGGTGTGAGCCAGGAGCTGGCCGGCTGGTCACATTAAGGCCCCAGGAAGCATCTGGTTGTTCTTTAAGCTAGAGTAGGCGCTTGCTTACTCGGACGGCAGGTGTGTACTCTGCCCAAGTGTGCTGTGTCCAAAGGGAAGAATGGAGGCAACCGGCGAGTAATGCCTGGTTATAATGTCACTCCGGCCACGGCTTCTCTAAACTAAAAAAAAAAGGGCGGCAGAACAAAAAAACCATGAAGATGACATCAGCCAAACCAAACCCCAGGGAAAGGATACAAAGGTAGGTAGGTATAATAAAAATAATAATAAAAAATAGTTATTATTGTGTGAGAGAGAATGTGTATGTGTCTATCAGTGCGTCAAATTAGTGAGTATGTGTCTGTCAGTGAGTGTGTCAGTGCGTCTGTCAGTGAATGTGTGTGTGTCTGTGTCCTCTGTTTGTAACTATTTACTGTATTATATTTAAATTTTGTGACTTTTATTCTTCAGATTAAAAATTCAGACACTTCTTCTCACATAAACAATATTCACATTGTCATATTTATTCTAAAAATATTCTTTACTACTTTTAATCGGACTTGTTCTCCAATATGGAATTAACTTAAATATCAGTGTCTACATGTTTCATTTGGAATTTAAATCAATAGAAATTACTTTCTTGAGAAAGGGGTACTTAGAAAAAGTCTGTAGACCTGCAGGGGTACTTCCTCTTGCTATAGGGGATTTCCTAGAAGGGACTTGTCCATTGCAGCCTCTAAACCAAATTTAGAAACAAAGGAAGAACTACCCAGGTCCCTCGAGAAAGCGGCACCATAACATGCACTGTGATTACAATTTAAACCAAATGCATCCAGAATTATTTAAAGGGACAGTCTAAGCTCCAAAATAGCTTTGTTTTAAAGCAGTGATTTGGGGGTACAGTTGCTCCCCTGCAGCTTTGCTGCTGTAAACTAAGCTGTTTTTGAATAATTACACTGTTTACATTTTGTGGATTCCACGCCTGCTAGTGGCTGTCGGACAAACAGGCACTAGAGAATATTGATGGAAATAGATCCAGTTATTGAAACTATTTACCATCCGGCGTCAACAGAGAGAAGCATTGGAGGATTGTACCGATCACTGCACATGCACTGTGCGCCCTCAATGCTTCTCTATACAAAGTATCTGATAGGACCAAAGTCATCAGGATTCATGTGATTCCCTTGAAATATAAATTAATATAAAATAAGGTGCTAAAACAATTGTATATAAATTTACATTTAGCTTATGGAGTTGTGTCTATCATTATTTCGAAGAGCCTAGTGTTATATCTGCCTAGGTAAAATTTAAGAAAGAAATTCTGTATTTGTAATAGTTTTTATATAATTCTCATCACAGTAAATATTATAGAAGGGATCGTGAATTAGTCCACAGAATTTTATTTTGTTCTTTTTGTGAATTACTGAGGTATAATTGTTGCCTGGCTGTTTATTGTACCTTTCCCTCCCCAGCTGCATTCTGAATGAAAAGTGGGAATTTGTCCAAAATAATGTGTTCTGGAACAATAGCCATTTTTGGCAGCTGCCCTGCATATTTGAGCTATTTGTGGATTTTCCTACAATTTTGAAATAGCTGTTAACAGGGCCTTTTAATACTGGATTACTACATTCTGTATTATATTACATATGTAGCGCTCCTCGGGATTTAACCAGCAGTTTGCAATTAATCCGTCTAGTTACTACATTACCAGTGAACGGCGCTATCAG